GACTTTAAAAAACTGGTTGGAATTCAAAACAACTTCATAACAATGGCCAAGCACAATAAGGGGAAGTGCAGTGCACAAGAACCATAACTCCATCTTGACTAATTACAGAGTTTTGCCCTTTGTTACTTTTTTCCATTGCTTTCTTTTGTCCGGACCATAACTTGAAGAAACTTATTGTTGGAATTGATTATAAACTTCATACAATGGTCAAGCACATTGAGAGGAAGTGCAGTGCATAAAGAAAACCATAACTCCATCTTGACTAATTACAGAGTTACTGCCCTTTGTTACTTTTCCTTGTCCAGAGCATGACTTGAAAACTACTGGTTGGAATTCAAAACAACTTCATACAATGGTCAAGCACATAAGGGGAAGTGCAGTGCACTAGAACCATAACTCCATCTGACTAATTACAGAGTTATTGCCCTTTGTTACTTTTCCTTGTCCAGAGCATAACTTGAAAACTACTGTTTTGGGAATTCAATATAACTTCATACAGTTGTCAAGGACATTAAAAGGAAGTGCAGTGCACAAGAGCCATAACTCCATTTTGACAAAAAAAATACAGAGTTACTGCCCTTTGATACTTTTCCTTGTCCGGAGCATAACTTAAAACGTACTGGTTGGAATTCAAAACAACTTCAATAAATGGTCAAGCACAATAAGAGGAAGTGCAGGCACAAGAACTATAACTCTATCTTCAGATTTTTAAAAGTTTTTTCCCTTTATTTTTTCTTTTCCTTTTTTGGACTTATTTTCAAGAATTTTTCCCCCGCCGAGGAAACGGGAGGGGAATATTTTGGGCCCTTTTCCGTTTCCCTCCCTTTCCCTCCCCCGCGCCCGGGGCCAAAATTTTATTATTAACTTCAAATTTCCGGGAGTTAAAAAAAAAAGAACAAAACTCAAAAATTTTAAAATTTAAAAAACTTTTTTTTTTTAAGACTTTTTTTTGCTTAGAGTTGGCCCCCGGGGGGGATGAGCTCAATTTTCCTCAAAACATCAAATTTTTTAACCCTCCGTCCTCCCGTTCCGTCCATCCCCCCGTCGAAATTTTTTTCCGGGAATTTTCCCGCAACCTGGCTGGGAACAAAAGAAAAAAGGGGAAGTTATAGCATTTAATTGTTTTTCCTGGGTATTTTGTCTGGGTAATTTTTGTATTTTTTGAGTTTTTGCCCTTGATTTTGTTTAAAAACCCCGAAATTTGTTTTCCGGGGTAGTTCCTCAACAAGGGTGAATTTAACCCAAACTTATGGGGAAAGTTGACACGTGAATGGCACCTGGGATTTTGTCTGGGTATTTTTGTAAATTTTAAATTTTGCCTTTACTTTGTAAAATTTTTAAATTTTTTAACTTGGTCCCCCATGTTTTCCAAAAAGTATTTTACCTAGGCCAAAAATTTTCAGAAGGGATCAGATTTAGGGGGAGGGGGGAAAAGTTTTTGGGGTTTTCCGCCCGCCCTTCCCTTCCGCCCCGTCATTTCCTCCTCCAATTTTTTTTTCGGGTAGTTCCGCAACCAAGGCTGAACAACGAAACTTTTTGGGGAAGGACACATGGAATTTGGCAACCCTTTGGGGATTTTTGTCTGGATATTTTAGTATTTTTAGAGTTATTGCCCTTGACTTAGTAAAAAATCCGTCCGAATTTCGTTCCGGAGTAGTTCTCTGCCAACTAATGGCTGGAATTCAACGAAACTTTATGGGAAGTTGATCAGCATGTGAAGTTGTGCACCTGGGTATTTTCGTCTGGATATTTTTAGTATTTTAGAGTTATTGCCCTTGACTTAGTAAAATTTTGCAATTTTTCAACTTTGTGTCGCATGTTACTCAAAAAGTATTTGACCTAGAGTCATGAAACTTTACAGGAATGTTGATCAGCATGTGTAGTTGTGCACCTGGGTATTTTCGTCTGGATATTTTTAGTATTTTTTAGAGTTATTGCCCTTGACTTAGTAAAAATTTGCAATTTTCAACTTGTGTCGCATGTAACTCAAAAAGTATTTGACCTAGAGTCATGAAACTTTACAGGAATGTTGATCAGGTATGTGTAGTTGTGCACCTGGGTATTTTCGTCTGGATATATTTTTGTATTTTTAACCAGGTTTTCAACGAAAACCGGGTTATTGTAATGCCGAAGTCGGCGGGCGGGCATCAACTTTTGGTTTCCGCTCAATAACTTAAGTTTGCTTTGGCCTATTGACACCAAACTTGGTGTGTAGGTAGCTTATATATATCAAGAGGCAGCTTGGGATTGCTACCCAGGTGTCTGTGTGATCAAGGTCAAGGTCACTGTTACTATAAATAGAAATTCAGTTTCCGCTCAATAACTTGAGTTTGCTTTGGCCTATTGTCACCAAACATGGTGTATGGATAGCTTATATCAAGAGGCAGCTTGGGATTGCTACCCAGGTGTCTGTGATCTAGGTCAAGGTCACTGTTACTAAAAATAGAAATTCAGTTTTCCGCTCAATAACTTGAGTTTGCTTGGCCTATTCACACCAAACTTGGTGTATGGACAGCTTATATCAAGAGGCAGCTTGGGATTGGTACCCAGGTGTCTGTGATCAAGGTCAAGGTCACTGTTACTAAAAATAGAAATTCAGTTTCCGCTCAATAAACTTGAGATTGCTTTGGCCTATTCACACCAAACTTGGTGTATGGATAGCTTATATCAAGAGGCAGCTTGGGATTGCTACCCAGGTGTCTGTGATCTAGGTCAAGGTCACTGTTACTAAAAATAGAAATTCAGTTTCCGCTCAATAACTTGAGTTTGCTTTGGCCTATTCACACCAAACTTGGTGTATGGATAGCTTATATCAAGAGGCAGCTTGGAATTGGTACCCAGGTGTCTGTGATCTAGGTCAATTTCACTGTTACTAAAAATAGAAATTCAGTTTCCGCTCAATAACTTGAGATTGCTTTGGCCTATTGACACCAAAACTTGGTGTATGGATAGGTTATCTCAAGAGGCAGCTTGGGATTGCTACCCAGGTGCCTGTGATCAAGGTCAAGGTCACTGTTACTAAAAATAGAAATTCAGTTTCTGCTCAATAACTTGAGATTGCTTTGCCCTATTGACACCAAACTTGATGGATGGGTAGCTTATATCAAGAGGCAGCTTGGGATTGCTACCCAGGTGTCTGTGATCAAGGTTAATGCATTTAGTTTTCATGTTATAATTTGAGTTTGCTTTGACCTTTTGACACTGAACTTGCTGAGTGGCAGCTTTGGATTGCCACTTAGATATCTGGGTACAAGGTCAAGGTAATTTGCTTTCAATAGAAATTTCAGTATGTACTCAATAACTTCAGTGCACTTTGACCTATTGATTGTTGTCACATCAAAACTTGGTCGTTGAAAACCTGGTTTTCATCGCATTGCGGCGCTTCTTGTTAGAGTTATTGCCCTTGACTTAGTAAAATTTTGCAATTTTCAACTTGTGCCGCATGTAACTCAAAAAGTATTTGACTTAGAGTCATGATACTTTACAGGAATGTTGATCAGCATGTGTAGTTGTGCACCTGGGTATTTTCGTCTGGATTTATTTAGTATTTTTAGAGTTATTGCCCTTGACTTAGAAAATGTTTGCAATTTTCAACATGTCGCATGTAACTCAAAAAGGATTTGACATAGAGTCATTAAACCTTATTGGAAAGTTGCTCAGCATATTTAGTTTGTTCTTTGGGTTTCGCTTGTGGATTTATCCAGTATTTGTAGAGTTATTTCCCTTGACTTAGTAAAAACCATTTCATTATGATGTTATTTGATCCTTGAGTGCTTGAGTTAGAATCGACCAACTTTACAGGAATAATGATCAACATCACTAAATTACAGGAATAATGATTCACCTCACTGTGAAGCTATGAACTTTGGACTTTGCATGTGGATTTTTTTCAGTTTTGTTAGAGTTATTGCCCTTGAATTACAGTAGTATAGATTTGCAATTTTCAACTTGGGGGTTTGCTTGGGGATTTATTCAGTATTTGTAAAGTTCTTGCCCTTTACTTAGTAAAAAGATTTTTAGTTTTCAAAAAATATTGAAAAATAAGATTGACAGAACAGTGGCGCAGTGGGGGCACCTATATCCTATGGACACATTTCTAGTTTTTATTAAAGAAGAATTAAAATGATTTGTTACAATAACATTTAAAAATATTTGAAAATTGTGAGATCCCTTCTTGATGCCTTGAATATGGCAATGAAGTCTGGAGATTAAGATGTTTTTACATCTAGGTGAGCTATTGTGATCCCCCACCGTCCGTCGTCGTGCGTCGTCAGCAATTTCTTTAAACAACATCTCCTCAGAAACAAATGACTGCACAGCAACCAAACTTTACAGGAATGATCCTAGGGTGGTCCCCTGCCAAAGTTGATCAAATGGTTCCGGTCTGTTGCATAAGTAGGTCACAGGGCCAGAAAAGGAATTTCAAAAATGTAAAATTAAAAAATCTTGTCTGAAAGTACAAGGCCTAGAGCTTTGATATTTGGTATATGATATAACCTATAGGTCCTCTACCAAAATTGTTCAAATTTTAGCCCTGGGGTCAAAATTGGACCCACTCCAGGGGTCATAGATTTTCCTTATATGTATATAGTGAAAACTTAAAAATTCTTCTTGTTTGAAGGTACAAGGCTTCAAGTTCAAAGAATATTACAGTTTATGCCATGATTAATATATAAATAAAGCCTTATGTCTTCAGTTGTTGTGTTAATAATAACCAGTACTCGGCGGGGGATATAAATTCAACGAATTTGCTTGTTCAATTAAACTTCATCAATGGCCAACCACATTGAAAGGAAATGCAACATACATGAACCACAATTATCTTTAATTGCCCACAACCATAACTCTATGTTTCAATTCTATTACAAGGTATTCTGTTACTAGTAACATCCTCATTTCCGAAGCAGACTTGTGGGGGTATTAATCACATTTAGTGATAGTTCTAGTTTTAATAACATTATGAAGCATAGTCTGTAAGTATTACACTAACTATAATTCAGGCTTTAGGGTTTGACTGGAATACCAAGGTGAATCTAAGTGAGTTGTCTGCTGCTCTAGAACAAGAGTTATTGAACCCAGAGGAGCAGAGTATAGTGTACCAGGCCGCACTAGCCTCATACCAGCAGGAAATGAGACATCTTAAGTAAGTTATATAAAAGTTAACTATACTTGGTACTAGGTATACACAAATGTAAACTTTGTAAAAGTTTTATTAAATTCATGATATATATATTGAAATTGTTATTGTAATGTATTCTCATTAACACAATACCATAGCAAATTTACAACATCAATTTAATCATCATTTATTGCGTATTTATATCAGAATATTGTATATACCTTTGATTAACAGATCAACCGTCGAGCAGGCTGTATGGGCTAAAGATAAATTAAAACTAGATCTAGCTGAAGCCAATGCAAGGAATTCTCTGCTAGCTAAGGAGGTAGATGAAAGGCATGCTTCTATGGAAAAGTCTTCAGAATCTAAACTATTGTAAGTACACCTGATCAATGTTTTACCTCTCATGTGCTATTCTAGATGGTTTTTGGGCTGATTTTACTGTTGTATACAAGCACCTTGCATTAATTGATACAGCTGTTTTTATTCTAATTATCATTGCTAATTGTTAGCAAAAAGTATGACATTCTGAGATCTTTGTGGTTTGCTGTATTAGACATTTTCTTAGACAGATTAAACAAGTTTAATGTAGAGATATAATTTAGTGAATTCATAAAATTTAAACGACTTGATACTTTAAGTTAGTGGTGTGCAAATTTTGTAAAAAGACTTTATTTTGGTAAAAAAACAGAAACATTCTCTGAAAGTAATATAGACACAAAGCACAAAGTAACATAGAATTTTCATCAACTGAAATGTTAGTAAGGGCAGATGATTCTATATTTTATTTATTTTTCCATTTTTGTTCACTTGATTGCTATGCAGATGATTTTACAAGAAAAGAGTAAAATGCACCATCACATTAGCTATTTTTGTTACTAATAATTATGTTTGCACTTATTGTATATACAGGATAGACACCTAATTATCTCATTGAAGCAAATATCTTGAGAAACAAAGTTACCAATATCAAACATACATTAGAGAAACTAAACTAGTATTTTGAAAGAGAATTTTCTTGCTGACTTCAAAGGAAATTGATAGTGTTTATCTTTCAACTAAACTCCATTAAACAGCCTTGTCTCTAGGTACAGTTATTTATATAAAAGCTTATGTTTTTTTTATTCCAAAACTACAAACTCACTGTTTTGACAGTTATTTCTATTTAGATTCTTTTCATCACTTAATGGTATAAAAATGTATATAAAGGGCAGGAAATGTGATGTTCTGACAAAATAAAAGGATTTGCTGAAGTGGGATATTGCTGTTATTGCACACTGTCTTATCATCCTCACTTTATGTAATATTTGTAAATGTTGTTAGCACATTGTTGTGTGGTATAAAATCTACATACATGTAAGTATTGCATGGCATTATACATATATATTATCTAGTATTAAGCATGCAGTTATATTATTTATCATTATATATTATGTTACTTGTTTTTGTTATAAAATGTATTGAATGCATCAGGAGAGTATATCCAGTAACTTATAAATTGTTCAAGAAATCAGCATCTTGACTTCAGGACATTGGTATATATTACTTATTATTTCCAGTGATTTGTTTGAAGTCAACTTAATACTTACTTGCATTACTTGTAAGAATTAGTGGACATACTTAGAGTAAGTTGAAATTCTATCATATAATAAGTAAAGATTCAAGTTAATGACATGAAACAGAATTTTGTTTAAAAAAGACTATCTTATATTTACAACATTTCAGCCTTTAATTTAGTTTAACTCACCTCCTGACTTTCATAAATGAACTTGTCCAGCTTTTTGGAACTGACCATTATCATTTTTAGCTCACCTGTCACAAAGTGACAGGGTGAGCTTTTGTGATCGCTTTTCGTCCGTCGTCCGTCTGTCCGTAAACTTTTACTTTAAATAACATCTCCTCATAAACCACTAAGCCAATTTCATCCAAACTTCACAGGAATGTTCCTTTGGTGATCACCTTTAAAAACTGTTCAAAGAATTTAATTCCATGCAGAACTCGGGTTGCCATGGCAACCGAAAGAAAAAACTTAAAATATCTTCTTCTAAAAAACCCAAAGAGCTAGAGCTTAGATATTTGGCATGAAACATGTTCTTATAAATGTCTACCAATTTTGTTCAAATTAAAGTCCTGGGGTCAAAATTGGCCCCGCCCCAGGGGTTCATTGATTTTCCCTATATGTATATAGTAAAAACTTAAAAATCTTCTTTTAAAGAACCCAAAGAGCTAGAGCTAAGATATTTAGCATGAAGCATCTTCTAATGGGTGTCTACAAAGTTTTTTCAAATAAAAGTCCTGGGGTCAAAATTGGCCCAGCCCCAGGGGGTCATTGATTTTTCCTATATGCATATAGTAAAAACTTAAAAATCTTCTTTTAAAGAACCGAAAGAGCTAGAGCTAAGATATTTAGCATGAAACATGTTCTAATGGAAGTCTACCAAGTTTGTTCAAATAAGAGCCCTGGGGTCAAAATTGGCCCCGCCCCGGGGGACATTGATTTTCCTTATATGTGTATAGCAAAAACTAAAAAATCTTCTTCGAAAAAACCCGAATAGCTAGAGTGTAGATATTAAACATGAAACATCTTCTAGTAAGTGCCTACAAAGATTGTTCAAATAAAAGCCCTGGGGTCAAAACTGGCCCTGCCCCAGGGGTGTCATTGTTTTTAAATATATGTGTAAAGAAAAAACTTAAAAAACTTCTTTTAAAAAATCCAACGAGCTAGACCTTTGATGTCTAGCATGAAACATCTTCTAATGGGTGTCTACCAAGTTTGTTCAAATAAAAGCCATGGGGTTTAAACTGGCCCCGCTCCGGGGGGCCTATATACAGGTGAGCGACTTCAGGGCCATCATGGCCCTCTTGTTGGGTATATCAGGATGAAACTTTAAAGTTGGGTTAGCTGGCAGTATAGTCAGCTCTGACTGCATTGATGTACAGACTGGACTGGCACTATACTGCTGGCAAGGCAAATTAGTTCCAGAATGGAATAGGTTTAAAACGCATCAAGTCAACGCATAAAATAAATTTATACAGTTTGCATTCACTCATGACAGTTCCATCCCAATTGTTAGTGTTATGCTTCCAGAATAATAACTCTTCTTAAAACATGGGTATTATCAGTGATTTTCAGTGAAATTAAATGTTTTGTTTGTAAAATATTTGAGGGGCAATACTTTATTCCTTACCATATTAAGTTACATTTAAATTTTTCAGTTTGTATTCTAGGGTAATATACTTTTGTATTATACTGTTTGTCTTTTTGGTTGTAGAGTTGATTTGTCAAGGTTTATTTTCATATGTTTTAAGATAACTATTTTCTTGTTATAGAGATTTGTCCATTATGGTTTATGTAGAACTTGATTGTTTTATCTTTTGTTTCTTGCTGATCAATTTTACCTTTTAGTTAACAATTTATCTTATATTGTTTAACTTATCTGACAAGCAGGTTTGTGAAGTAAGTATATGTTATAATTAATATTCTCAATTTTGTATCCATTCCCTGATGCACAAAATGATAACAAGACAAAAGAATGATACCATTGTGTTTCTCACAAAATCACATACATTTTGTTGAAGATTTCTATCCCAAGTTTGAAACCCTTCTGTAAAGTTATGAATTAACTCCCTTGTGTGTGTATATGCCAACCCTTATTTTAATGAATTATCCCTTTACCATTAATACAGATAAGGTTAGATTTTAAGATTTGTCACATTTTGTAATGGTTTTCATTCATCAAAACTGATAACACCTGGTCACAACCTCTACAAAATCATGTCATAAATTGTTTTTGTTTAATTTTAAAGATGTTTGCTGTATGTACACAGAAAACTTTTATCACTAGGTTTAAACAAAGTCTTTTTATTTATTATATATAAACAAAATTGTTTATGATTTTATTGTCAGCCTTTATTTGCTCTAAAACCTTAAAATCCCCCTTCAAACAACTTATTGATACTTCAGTACATCCTTGACTTTTACAATGAATATGTCATCTATATAGTTTGACAGGTATGAACTACAAATTTAATGTCTTATTTATGACAAGAATTGTTGATTTGTTTCAGAAATTTACCAGTTATACAATGCTTCATATTGTGAATATGTGAATGTTATCCATTAGTAACTTTTTATGAATTGCTAATTGGAAGGGGAAAAAACTGTTATGTGAATCTATGTGACATTTATATAAGTTTTGTAAGATGATATATGAAACATCAGTTCTCACTGTGTTAACATACTTGAACATAGTTAATTAATATTTGTCTCTTTAAGAGATCTACAGAATACATTGTACATGTCTTGTATCCGACATATTTAGTGTTTAATGTAGTATGTAAATAGATGAGGAGCAAATGCTGATGTTCAGGATTAACTTTCGAATTAATTATAATTATGTTGTCTTCATCAGAGTCAAGTGGTTATTTTATTTTTTGATAATATTTAGTGTTAATTAAATGTTTTCACCAGGTCTATAGAGCGCAAGTACCAGGAGCAGGTGAAACAATTACAAGGAGAGTTAGATAAAGAGAGGGAGAATTATTCTACATTCACTGCCAGTCATAAACTTAATATTGATGCAGAAATGGAGGAGTTGAGGAATGAGGAGGCAAAGCTTCGGGAACATCTTGTTCAAGCTCAAAAAGTAAGTCATGTTTCTATCGTTTTGTTTGCGCTTTTTTTTATCTAGACTAAATTATGACAGAATCTCTAAATTTATTCAAATTAATCTTGAGTAATGGCAGACATCTTTGCTGCTAGGACATCACTTCCTATTATATTTTTTGCAATATTTTATATACTTTAGTTTGGACATACAGTTATGTATTATTTGAATTACTGAACAGTAAAGTAGTTAAAATACACCAAAACAACACATACATGTATTTCTTTAATATTTAACAGTAAACAGTAAAGTAGAAAAATATTACTTGTTTTTTATGCCACCGCAGCATCTGCGATGCGGTGGCATATAGCGATTCACCTGTGTGTGTGTTTGTTTGTGTGTGTGTGTGTTATATAGATTATATAGTGAACTTAAAAAATCTTCTTGTGAAAAACCACCAGTCCAATTTCAACCAAACTTGGCAGGATTGATCCTTGGGTGAAGGGCTTCCAAAGTTGTTGAAAGAATTTCATTCCATGCAGAAATCTGGTTGCCATGGCAACCAAAAGGAATTATAAGAATAAATTTAAAAAATCTTCTTGTAAAGAACCAAAAGGCCTAGAGCTTAGATATTTTGCATAAGGCATTGTCTGGTAGACATCTACCAAGATTGTTCAAATTATAGCCCTGGGGTCAAAATCGACCCCGCCCCGGGGGTCATTGATTTTCACTATATGTACATATAGCAAAACCTTAAAATACCTTCTTGTAAAGACCCAAAAGGCCTAGAGCTTAGATATTTTGCATAAGGCATTGTCTGGTAGACCATTACCATGATTGTTCAAATTATAGCCCTGGGGTCAAAATCGGCCCGGCCCCGGGGGTCATTGATTTTCACTATATGTACATATAGTAAAAACTTAAAATACCTTCTTGTAAAGACCCAAAAGGCCTAGAGCTTAGATATTTTGCATAAGGCATTGTCTAGTAGACCTCTACCAAGATTATTCCAATTATAGCCCTGGGATCAGAATCGGCCCCGCCCCGAGGGTCATTGGTTTTCCTTATATGTATATAGTAAAAACTTAAACATGACTTGTAGTAAAAACTTTAAAAAAATTTCTTCTAGTAATTGACAAATGCTAGAGGTTAGATATTTTGCATGAAACATTATGAAATGAACTTCTAGCAAGATTGTTTAAATTATAGCAATGGGGTCAAAATTGCCTTTGCCCCGGGGGTCATTGATTTTCAATATAAACATATAGTAAAAAAATCAAAAAATCTTATTGTCTGAAGGTACAAGGATTAATGCGGTGGCATAGCATTTTTCTCAAATGCAATCTTGTTTAAATGATTGGAATCTACAATAGCTGGTGTTAGATAATGCTTATAAGTGTTGGAAATGTGGGTGCAGAAATGTTGCTTTGTTAAATTGTGGATTTACTCACTATTTTATAAAAATGTTAATAAATATTCTTTCTATAAGAAAAATTGAATTCTACTCTTTGACCTTGAAGATACAAGGACATGTTGTAAATTTGAAGGTAATTATTGATTGAAGTGTTTTATTGGTTACTGGTCAGTCGGTCATTAAAATAAGATAGCAGTCTTAAAGATAATGATGCTTGTACAAACAAAATTTCTTTGCTACGCCCTCTGTGGAGATGTTTGTTTTTCTTGAAATCATCATTTCGTCTTTTGAGTAAATCATTGAAACATCATTGTGTTAATTATGTTATTTGAGTTACAGTTTTTTGCAGGACTGCTGATATCTTTTATACCTGTTATTGTCATGGTTGTTGATTATTTTAATTCTGTTTCTAAGGAGATAGAAAAACAAGGTCATGAACTTGAAGAGGTCACTGGACAACTTGATGAATCAGAGAAACAATGTCAAAGGTTACAGAGGGAGTTAGAAAATGTTGAAGATATTCATAGAAAGGTAAGATAAAAAAAATTAATTTTGATTTAACTTGTCATTATATTGAGCACTATTAAAAAATTGGTGCTTGTTTTAAATAGATTGCCTAAAACTTAAAAGCATATGAATTGTGAATTTAGGTTTGCTGCATTTTTATTTGAGAGTGCTTAAACCAAGTTTGAATGAAATAAGGTATTAAATAGATGAATTTTTAGAATGATCTTATATTTTTTTTCATAAAAGCTAGCTGAGTATGAAGGTACAGGGTTGCTTAGTCCAGAAGAACAAAAATTTACTCAGGAAAAATTACAGCGAATTGAGCAAGAAAATAAGGTAAATTATTCAATTGTACATCTTATAAGAGTATGAAGTAGAAATAAATGTTCATTGTCTGTTGTACCTTGTCAAATAATATCAACCACTTGGCCTCCACCGCTTTGGGTTCAAATCCTGACAGAGACTTTGGATTCTTTCCTTTGAGGGGTCTATCCATCTAGCTGACTTAGCGTTGGTGGCTCTACTCAGGTGCCTGTTTGTGCCTAAAATAATGCATGGAGGGGCACCTAAGGTCTTCCTCGACCAGTAAAGCTGGAAAGTCGCCATATGACCTATACTGTAATAGTGCAACATAAAACCCAACTACAACACAGATCGAGATAATGTCAAAGTATTTGTAAAGTTCATTAACTGGTTTCTTCACACATCCGAATCAGTTTAAGATCTCAGTAATACAGCAATTCAACAATCTTTGTGACTTATGGAATGATGATACAGTAGTTCATTGAGGTCATTTATTATACAACATTGTTTTAATTATACAACATAATTATGTATTATTACTCAAGTGTTTGGAATATACTGAAACAGTAACTTGTCTAAGCAAGTATAAATGCATTATAAAAAGATCATCTCAGGAACAACTAATAAGCTTACATTGGTAAAAGTTTTCAGGATTATTCTTGACCCCCAAAGCCATTATTTTCTACATAAAACTGTTTAAAAAATAGCAAAAGTACAAGATTTTCAGGAGTTTTGAAATATTCAACATTGAGTTATGAGGTTATAAGAGTGTATATATATTTGACCTTACAGGAGTTAAAGGATCATAATGATGAGTTAACAGCAGAGATAGAGCAGATGAAACAACAGATAACACCATTACGTAAACCTAGTGACATGTCCTCTGATACACATACACCCATCAGGAAACATGGATCTATCATGTCTGATTATATCAAACCTGTTATCGTCAAGAAATCATGCTCCTCTTCTGCTGGTATGTTATTTCCTTTATGTATCAACTGAGGAAGCTGAATAAAGCGAAACATGTTTTGATACTTAAATTTGTGTTGGTTTTTGATCCAATTGTCCTATTATACCTGAAACAAATTCATATTTCATGTATAGTTAATCTTTGAGATAATAAATTGTAAAATTCTTAACATGATCATCTATACTCTGATAATTGTATTGTAGAAAAGTATATGTTTAGTATATGATATAATGGTTGGCTTGACCTAGAATGCATTCACAACATTATGACATGTTATATTTGCTGAACATTTTAACAATAAATTTGTTAAAACATGTTTATAATGCTTTTCAAATTCATGTAACAAAGTGGTCACCTTATTGTTATATACATGTATACATTGTTTACAAATCTAAAGCTGTTTCTTGTGTACATGTAAGTTACAACCAATGAAATAACTGGCCAACAATTTGTAAAAACTTGCAATTTTCTGGTCAGTTTACTGACTGTGCTATATGGTAGTGGATATTATTTTGCATTGTTAATTACCATCTGAATAGTTCAACAATTGTGATATTTTATATATGCTTTCAATTTCAGAGTTTTCCGATGATGAACCTCACAGTAGAGGTCGCCGGCTCCCTTCCACTGAGCACGATGATGATGATATAAGTAAGTTATATCATGTTAAATTACACACTATATATTAACAAGATTAATTAATTATTTATGAAAAGTACATTAACCCTTTCACTGCTAGATATGTAATTCGCCAGAAATATTTCTAAAAATTCCAGGAATTTACTATAAAACATGGATGTATTTTATTGTATATTTCCCTTTAATGTATAAAACCTATTCTTATATAGAAGAAATGAACAGTGTTAAGAGATTTTGTTTCTACATCAAAAATTGTTATGCCAATTAAAGCCTTCATGATAATGTTTATTTGTTGTATAAAAAAAATGATACCAATATGAAAATATCAGCATCAGTTTATATATATTGAACAAATAGTTGATATTAAGTAGATTGATAATTGAGTCATTGATTTCTTGTCACATGTAACATTATCTCTGTCACCATGATTATATTGGAATTCCTGCATTGATTTTATCCTCTCTGTCCTGTACATGCTTAGTTCACAATCTTAAAAAGGATCTGGCTAAGTTAGGAATAACTTATGGCAAAGGTAGGTTACAGCGATGTCCCATATTAGTCTCTGCATTGATTATACATTTATATTTATTTATTCATTTTATATTAAGCTCAAAGATGTTTTCATATTTTGTTTGTTTACTGTATAGATTTATGTTGCATTGTTTAGTGGTGTTTTACATGGGTTTGGTTATACACTGGTTTCAGGGATAAGATTATTCAAAGCTGCACATAGAAAATCATCCACAGGTATAGGATACTATAGATAATAGTAATGTGCTAACTTTAGTTCAGTTTGCAACCTAACTTTTACATATTAACAAATCCTAACAATGTATGTCAAACAGTCTGTGATGGTAAGATATTTAATATATTAGTTATAAAACAACAACAAATTCATTAAATGTATTGTGTTTGGTTTTAATACCTTGAATATTTTCCTAATACCTTCAAAATGAAATATTTAAAATTCTAAAATGTAACTGTATTTTATAATTAATGAAACTGACATTGTTTGTCTGTTTGCCTGTAATGAATTAAAAAATATTTCAAATACAAACTATAGTCTGTCCCATTAAAAATGGAAATGAACTTTTGCCTGGTATGAATTAACAAAACGACGTTGAATAAAAAAGAAAACTTTTTTGTAAACTAAAAAAAAGTCACCCTCGAGATTTTTCAGGATTTTACTCTAAAGTGTCTACTTTTCTTGTGAAAGCAAATTTTGATTTCTCTATGGTAAATCTCTGTTGTTTATTTTCCGTAGCCATTGCCGAAGTACTCTTCATTTGAAGATGAACGGGAGAAAGCACGTGTCATGTTTCTAAAATATACATGAGGTTCTCGGGGTCGTTTCATGATTATTTTACAAAGCTGGGTCTACAAGATGTTACGGTTTAGTTGCAATGCATGATGGAAAACTTTAAAAAATGAAAAATAAGCAACCAGAACACCGAGTTACATGGAGTAGATCTAGAAATGGCACTTACTTTTAAGCTGAATAGAATCCTATGAACTTTATAAACGTCACGACAAATTCGCATTCTGAAGATTCCTTCATTGCCAGTTTCTATCCAGTTCCGTAGATCCCACTTTTTGACTTCAAAAATCCTGAATGACATGAGTCATGACTCCTACACTTTTGATGATCCAGACTTTTTACACTGATAATCCGTCTCATTATTAAAACATTGCTCAATTTGTGGAGTTACCTGGGTTAGCAAATGAAATATGTAAATGAAACACATCATAATTCAGCATGTTCCAAATCCATATATTCAAGAACGGCCCATCAATTTTAGTTGTCAACATCACAATGCTTATGGATTCCTGACGAAAAAAACTTTATTACGTCAACAACAAATGACGAAATATATGACGTAACAAAAATGCCTCGCGCTTTTTATGGATGATTCCAGTTGCGGCATTGACAGAGGGCGGTTAGTCATATGTACCCTCAAACAGATAATTTTAAGCGTTGAGATAAATTTGTCTTGATGGCATTTAAAATAATTTTTGTACACCCAAATTTTGCAACTTAACTGTAAAAATTCCACGTTCAATTCATATATTAATAATATAAAACTTTTGATAACATTTAAAAATAATTTTAAACACACTTAAAATGACATGAATCTACAACAGTACAATATTTCTTCCATTAATTACATATGAAATTCGTTTTGATTTTATGTTTTTGAACTATTTTTTATATTTCTCAGAAATAGTTACCCCACATATTATCTCGTTATTCAAGACTTCTGTAAATCTTACTCTTTTACCTCAAAATATACAATACGTGGTATTTTTTCTCCCGCGAAAAATATGCTAGATTTTAGATCTATTGTTTTTACACTGAATATTTTCAAATTTTAGGAAGGCTAAAATTATTGAGAACGTCACTCGGTGTTTCTCTTTGACTCGATCTACCCTTCATATTAACAAAATAATTATATGTAACAAAAAGAAACCACTTATTGTCGCTTATTGAACACTCCAATTCAAACTTACTCTTAATGATATTAAATCACTGCCGTATTTCTGGACATTCTGTTGAATAGCGAGACGGAAAGTTAAATATGTATTTACGAGCTTAAAGTGTATAGGCCTACTTTTGATTGCTTAAACTAGAAAGCATGATATTATATTCTTATAATTTACATTTTCCTCGAACGCGACGGAGTTAGTTAAAGTAGACACTGTGGTAACAAGCAAATCAATGCTGAACGTATAGTGAATCAGTTTTCTTTATATTTTTTGTCAGATTTGCATTGTAAATTTAGTATTTGTTGGCGATTTCTTGTGAAAGTTGAAACCTACGGAAAGTTTTAGCGCACGAACATCGCACCCGAAATAAGAAGGGTAACATATTTTTGTTTCCCATCGAACCTGGTCAATTTGATTATTTTTGAATAGACGTGATGCACACTAATGGACAGAATTCAGACAACTTACAGAATTATTTAAATTAAACATTACTTAGCGAACCATTTTTTATAGTCTTCTAGCTAGTGTTCCCGCTCCCTTACGACGCGTTGCGGTATTCAAGATACGCGCTTGATTGAAAAGCTGTATATATAATCAAATCACTTTCTTAAAAAATATGAAACACGACATTATATCATGGTAATCAATTAAATCTTTGTGTGTTAGAATTTATAAACCTTACTGATATTTTCACTTCAAATGATTTTGATTATTTTAAATAATGGTTTGCTAGTAAAATTGCCTTTTTGACTCCAACTTTGTTGTCATTTTTCATTTTAATGATAACATTTAGCTATTGATCAGTAAGTGAATAAGAATAATATTTTTTTTTAATTACCGAGTACATTTCACGCTAATTGTGAGACGAACCCTAAATGACGTCTATATGGGCGCCGCCATTTTGAAATGGACGTCACGTCAGGTTACAACGTAAGTCAACGGGAAAAAATATAAATTTTATCATTATGACCATATTATTGACTTTATGAAAAAAATGAAAAACATGCCTAGAGATATTGACGTCAGGGTTAACATGACATTAATTTAAATGATTTTACTATTATATTAAATAAAAAATGGAATGTTCAAATTTGATGGGACAGACTATAGTAAGTTACTTTGTGTTTTTCCTAACATTTCCAACCTAACAATAATATTGTGATAAGAAATATGATGCAATAGAAATTTTTCTCTGGGAGAATATTTAGATTACATTCAGTATCATACAAATGTTTACATTAGTCTAGTAATTAGTCTAGTATTTAATATGTTATTGTAGCTTATAGAAACAGTCAATGAATTTAAGATTTTGAATTTACTAGCCCGAATTCAAGTTTTGAATTTATTCTACTATATATTTAACTAAAAATTTTTTTAATTTTCTCTGGCCCTAACTATTTTTCCCTGGCCATGGGCCATCGAGCCAGTGCTAAATTCGATGACTGTAGAAATAATTAACATGTTGGTATGAAGTACAAACCCAGATAACTTACTTTATTTGATAATATATGTTGTTTAAATTGTGTATACATGTGATTTTCTGTTCAATTTAAGTTTTAAATTAGAGGTATAGAACATAATAACTTATAACTTGTTAGTTTTATTAACTTGTATCATAGTTTGGAGACCTTTCTGTTGAAAATGTGTCAGGGTTAAATCGTATACATATACATGCACAGTGCGTTAACTGGAGTGCGGGTATTAGTTACCCGCACTCCAGAGCATGCCCATTGATTGGCTCATTTTTGCTGGGGTTTACATATTGTGACGGCAGAGAAAGGGAAAGCGACAGAAATGTCATATTCAGATGTTCGTTCATTGGTTCATTTTTGCCGGGGTTTCATATTGTGACAACAGGGAACATGCTTTTATGTTTGACTATGATACAAAAGAGAAAGAACACCAAAACACTCGGCAATCTGATTAATACTCGGGGGCTACGCCCCCTCGTACAAATCAGATAGCCTCGTGTTTCAGTGCTCTTTCTATTACTTATCATATCTTACCTAATCAAAAACAGTAAGATTACAAGAATGATATGATATCATAGTTATCCCTAAATAGTATGCTGCCAACAACTGATTCTACCTATCTTATCTGTGCAGACCCAGATTGTCCCACATATCTGTGCCATCTGATCATGGTCTGCACTGTGGACTGTTCATTCAGTAAATAGTTTGAAATTTCCTTAAAGGCAATTAATGCTTTTGTCCAGACAAGTTCTTGTAACAGTACATGGTAATTTACTAACCAAGAACTTTAGTTTCACTGTTTCATCTTGCTAAGTAGCTCTGTCATACATTATCATGCTGAAGTCTCTGTTATATTGGATAACATAATACTCAAATCCAAATGAGTTCATTCTGAAAAAATTGAAAAATATACATGTATTGATAATGTGAAATAGTTATTATCAATTATATTTCTTTGATAGCTAGCATTATTTAAAATACACAGTATGTTTAATCCAATCATTTTATAATCTAGTATGTTGAGAGAAGAAATGATTTGTTTGTTAGCTTAAGCTTGACAAATAAATAAGGGGTGTTTTCTTATTTATTTAATATTACTTTATTCTAAGATGGTATTTAAGAACATGTTTTCAATACCATTTTAAAAGAATATGTAAAGAAATCCAGACAATGCTTATTTTCAATGATTGAAAAAGCAGTTTCAAAATCTGAATTTATATACTTTTATTATTTTTTTTCAGCATTATGTACTATAATTACAGTGTATATGTATGATTTTCAGTATAAATCATCTGTATATCAGTTTGATGCTTCTGTATCTTAGCAAAAATGGCAGCTTTTTTAATAAAATCATTCTGACCTTGCTGGTAGTTGTTACTGGTAGTTCAGCCACTTTATTAGGATATTATAGAGTTAAATTGTTATATTATCAGGTGTTGGTAGTACTGGAGACAAGGAGGTTATAGAAGAGTTAAGGAAAGAACTACAAGAACTCAAGAATCATTTTGATATAGAGAGACGGGAAATAGAACAAGCCCATAGACTAGAAATAACAGACATCGAAGAAAGACAAGATCAGGAAAAAGGTGATCTACTCAACCATATAGAGAGGGAAAAGGTATGACTAAAGCTGAATGTCTTGAATCTAAAATATATATTTTCTGTTAATGTAGATTAGTATAGAAAACTATGTGTGTAACTGTATTTTTGATTTAACAATAGAATGTATGAAGATCAAGCATTTCATTTTCAATGGCAGAGGAAGTCAAGTGGATATAGTGTCTGCCTCAATCTAGAACTTATGGGTTACAACTTTACTGGTATCTCGGCCATGTTTTTACATATAACATTATAACTGATTATTGTCAACTAGTAGATTCAAGAGTGCTTCAAATAAATTTTAAGCATTCTCCACTATTGACTTATAATAAATATGTTAAACTAAGTAGGTTTGTTTTGTATGCATTTAAACACAAGATATTTCATTAAAAAGTGTACGACTTGATATGGTTGATCTGCAAAATATATATCCGATGTGGTAAAGCTATGATAGAAAATAGCCTTTTAAAAAGTATTAAGAGTGTATGTTAATGATGTTGTTATTTTGGGGTTTTCAGGTAAAGATATCAGATGATTTTGAGAAATTACAACAACAGGCATTATCAGAACTAGCAAGGGAGTTGCAGACCAACTTTGCCCACGAGAAGGAAGACCTCATACTGAAACATGAATCTGAGAAGAACCACTTACAACAAAAGTTCATAGAAGAGACAGATAGGCTAAGGGAAAAGTAGGAATTCAGTAGTATTTATATCATAATTTTTTATCTAAAGAAATATACCATAATAACTAACTATGCAAAAAATGTTTTGCAAAGTCCATTAAATTGATGTTTTTCCATTGAGGAAAACAAATACTTGAATACAAAGCATTGAAAGAAAAAATAATGAATAATCTAGCAAGGAAGGTGTCACAGTTTCAGTCCATCATGTTCTTTAAATTTGACAAACTATAGTTTAAATTTCAACATGCAAAATACATACAAAAAATTTCTTTGATACTTGAACATGATTTTTTGTGACAGGTCAATCCTTAATTATTCACTTTTTATACACTTTTGAAAAACGGGACGTATTATGGGAACACCCCTGGCGGGCAGGCGGTTGGGCGGGCGGCGTCCAATTTTGTCCGGAGCATATCTCCTACATGTATGGAGGGATTTTAATGAAACTTCATAGAAATGTTCACCACTATGAGGAGCAGTGTCGCGCACATGAACCAGGTCTCTAGGTCAAAGGTCGCACGCAAAGCAGATCCCTGCGACCAAAGTCAAGGTTACACATAGAGGTCAAAGTTCAGATAAAAATTTGAAGATGTGTATAGGGACCATTTAGTCATCATTTATTGATGGATTGTAGCACAAATGGTAACTATCATGACTACAGGTGTGACACATTTAATTTAGGTTAATATTTGCAAGGTCAAGGTCACTGGAGATGATTAAATATCCAGATGTTGTCCGGAGCATATTTTCTACATGCATGGAGGAATTTTAATGTTACTTTATAGAATTGTTCACCACCATGAGACGTAGTGCCCTGCACATGAACCAAGTCTCTAGGTCAAAGGTGAAGGTCACAGTTAGAGCTCATAGAAAAACGCTTGTCTGGAGCAAAACTTCTACATGCATAGAGGGATTTCAATATAATTTGGCACAAATGTTCATCATTGTGAGGCTGAGTGCCGTGCATAAAATTCAGGTCCCTGCGACCAAGGTCAAGGTCACAAATCCTGTGCATATCTTCCCTACTGATTTGTTTTAAGGTTCATTTAACAACACAGTGCCAAGAATAAAAACTTGCTTGCTAGATAACACTTATCCATAATGCCCCCATCTCCATCTAAAGCTTTCGTAAACGGGCGTATTTTGTGACTATGGCACCCTTGTTGGCAAATAACATTAAAAAATGATGCATATAAAAAGTCAAAAAAAAAGAAGAAAAAAACAAGAAACACAATGAAATAAAATGAAACTTGAGTCAAAGATACAAGTTTGCTTCTTTAAAAAGAAGCATGCGAGAGGTCTTTTTGCTGCTGTGGAAGATTTGTTTAATTCGATAATATTTGGGGATATTTTTTGCATAAAAGACACACTGAATGGTTATGAATTACAATTATTTAACAAATAGAATTTATTATATATATTGAATATAGTATCATAATGAAAGGTTGTTTTACACTTCATTTTTGTTTAAATGTTTTAAATGATAATATGCCGGAGAAATGGATACTTTTTCTATAAGGGAACAATTTATGTTATGTCATCAACTGAATTTAAAATAAATGATATACACATGTGTAATATATACACATAATATATATATAATAAAAGTTGTATCAAAATAAAAGTTTCTAATTAAATTCAATAAGCACATTTTCGTTTAATGTTGTTTATGGAAACATTCCCTCTACATTTTCCAAAACGGGCATAAAGTTTGTTAATCAAACAATTTTAAGTCCCAGATTTATATAAAAAATGTTTATATCATTTGATTGGAATAAACAGTATATAAAGCTGTATGCCTCCAACCACAATATTTGAGGAAAATCTTGAGTTAAATTTGTGCCATTTGCGCCAAAATATCTCCGTTGCGTTATTTAGTCATACCGGTTCAAAAGTTTAAGGAGCAGCAAAATTTCGGTACACGGTTCACTCGGTCATATAATAGTGCATGGTGATATTGTACCTGTAATGTTCACAGTTACTATTTATCGGAACATGAAATAGTAAAACGCTATTCAGAAAACAATACGGTAATCGATTTATACAATTTAAAAGATTAAAACGGAATGAAACATCCACGTAGCGCTAAGTATCGTAAATGATATTTCCCGATTTTTCTATGTACCGATTTGTTCACTTCGATGTTAATTTTCCGTTTAAGTTAAGTCGTATTTTGAAACGGAGCATGCGCAAAACAATTTTTTGTAGACTGCTCCTAATGATTTTAGGCTTTAAATGAGATTCGTTCACTACAATCAGATACGCAAAAATGGATGCCGCCAGCAATCAGTCTGAACACTGTGGAGAGGTCTGATGACCTCTCCAACATTGTGTTTTTTCTTTCAAAGAAGTCAGTAATAGTTTATCAAATAATTTCTTTTGATAGATTGGAATCAGAGCATCAGGAAGAGTTAGAGAGTCGTATAGAGGAAGTTAGGTCGGTTTGTGAGCAGGAAAGATTCCAGGTGGAGGAGGCTTTAGCTGAAGCACAACCTATCGTAAATGATCTGGAGGAACAAAACACACAACTACAGCAAAAACTCTCTGAACAAAAGGAGCTGAACACTCAGCTAACACAAAAACTTGCCAAACAAAAGGATTTGATTCACGAATTAGAACAGAACCTTGAGGATCAAAGCACTCAGTCTCAAAAGAAACTAGCAAAACAGAAAGCACATAATACACAGCTGGAAGAAACTCTTGAGGAAGAAAATACTCAGCTGAAAGTAAAACTGTCAAAGCTTAAGGAACAAAATACATTGCTGGAACAGAAACTTGTTGCACAAAATGAGCAGTGTGGAAACCTGAAACAAACACTTGATGAACAGAAGTCAGCACTTGAACTGAAACTTAGCAAAGAGAAAGAAGAAAAAACAAAACTTGAAGAAAACTTTGAGGAACAAACGAAAAATCTTCAACATAAACTCACCAAACTAAAGGAGTTTAACACACAGCTTGAACAAACACTTGCCCAACAGAAGGAAGAAAGTGATACAGAATTGAAAAGACAAAAAGCAGAAATGGAAGGAATGTTAACTAGACATATGCAAAAGCTTGAGGATGTTGAACGACAGAAAAATGAAATAGAATTACATTATAAGAAAGGTAACAATGACACAGAACTATCATTCAGAAAGGAGAAAATGGATTTGACCAATGAAAAAGACAGACAGTCTCAGGATATCAGAGAGCTACAGAGACAGAAAGCTGAGTTAGAATTAGAGCTTAAACAACAGAGAGATGAGCTTGAGCTCTCATTTAGACAAGAGAAACAAGAGATTTTAGAGCTCTATGAAGAAAAGATCAGAGAGATGGAACAGAAACTAATTGAGTCAGAGAAAGTGCAGGATAATCTGCTGAAGGAGGTAAAATGATCAGGCAATATTTACTTAACTACATAATTACTTGATAGAAGCAAAAAACAATTAAGCTTACTGCTGTTAAGTCAATAGATAATATTAATAGTAACAATACAGATCATAAATTGCCAATATTTATTGTAACCATACAGTTCTTAAATTGCCGTTTCTCCCTATTTTTGGATAGTTTTCATTGTGAAAGGAGTCTGTTTTAATTTTTGAAAGTGTTTGTTCTTTATAATGGTGCTTCATTGCAGGGTGTAGATTCACTTTATGGTAAACTGAAGGAAGACTTCTATAGACTGTTGGATGATGCAACCAAAGCTAAACTTGCTGAGGAGAAGAAGAAATTAGATGAAAACCTTAAAAAAGAAATGGAAGCAAATTTTGATACCAAGAAATCTGAACTGAGTAATTGTTTTTTAATTAATAACTGATTGACTAGTAATTACTGTTGACATTTGACTGTATTTGCACTAATTGGCTTTGATGACAATGAAAATGGTATTATGTTGAACATATCAATATCTGCTGTACATTGTTAAAAGAGATAGGATTCAAAAGCTTTATTGTGAAAGTAAACTTAAATAATTTACAT